ACAATGCTGTTTATAGATGCTTTCATTATTCCCAATAATATGGCTCAGTAACAAATCGCTTCTAGATGTTAATGAATGTAAATCATTATTTGCATAAAATCAGTGTAGAATGGGTGTTAGTGTGACTACCCTTAGCTAATTTATATGGAATTCTTGCACAAATAACTCTATTTTAGAGAGTTATCAAGTAGGGGATGTTCATTTTCTCCACGGGGCCCCATCCCCACGGGAACCCGTCTAAATGGGGCGGGGAATCCCAGTTTAAATTCCCCATGGGGTGGGGATGAGAAAAGTTTTTTCCCCGTCACCTAAATGGGGATGGGGACGGGGAATGCATTCCCCATCCCCGTTCCCCATTCCCCTCCCCGCCTTGCATTTTTTTTAAAAGATATATATATATATATATATATATATTATACACACTAAAAAATCTTATTATTCTTTCTATACTTACATATACTAATAAAACCATATTCTTCTCTACCTAGCTAATATATAGATGAGGATTAGACCATGCAAATAAAGTTTTATCATTGAATATTAATTAATTCATTAGAATTTTCTTAAGAAAAATGTTTAATTGAAAAATAATTTAAAAGTAAAAGAATAAACGGGGAAAAAATCCTCATAGGGAACCCGATCCCCATAAATTCCCTGTGGGGAATCCTCATCCCAATCCCCGCGAAATTTCGTGGGGATGGGGAATTAAATGGAGGGTGAGACGTCCCCGTCCCTGCCCCGCGCCATGAACATCTCTACTTTGGAGAGTTGTCATCGAGGGGAAGATCATCCTCGACTATGAGGTCTTCATCTTGGAGTAGGTCTCCCTTGGGAGAGTCGTCTTCGAAGGGCAAGTCATCCTCGATTATGAGGTCTTCCTTTTTCAACAAGTCTCCCTTGGGAGAGTTGTCGTCGAGGGGAAGGTCATCCTTGACTATGAGGTCTTCCTTTTGCAGTAGGTCTTCCTTGGAAGAGTCGTTGTCGAGGGAAGATTATCCTCGATTATAAGCTCTTCCTCTTGGAGTAGATCTTCCTTGAGCGCAAGTTATTATGAGGAGAAGGTCTTCCTCGAGGGAAAAGTCATCGTCCAGGGAAGATCTTGAATAGGAAGATCTTGAATAGGAAGATCTTGTGGCAGCAGAAGACCTTAAAGAGATTTGAAGGTCCACTTAGCTATCGGGAATACTACAACTTCGTGAAACTGCGTGAGTCATATCTTGATCTTGGTAGAAATGACTTAAAATGTCGTTCCCACAGACGACGCCAACTGTTGATGCAAAAATCCGCCTAAGTCTCGGAGGAAGACTTGTTCTGGTCTGAGCAAGCTATTCCGAAGCCTCTTTAGAGAGACCTGCAAAAACAAGCAGAGCACTTCGACACTCAAGATAGTTTAGAATTCGAGCTTAGACAGATCAGCTTCAGACAGATTATCATACCTTAGTAGGTGGAGTGAAGGTGTATTTATAGGGGTTTGAGGAGTAGTTACCCATCCTATCGGGTTATTTCCTGTTCTAGGGTCAGGTGACCTGCTATGGATTGTTGGTCCATATTGGTCTCTGGATTTATCACTGCCTTGGAGCATAATACTTGGAAGATTCTCATCCACGTATAAGTAACCGGACCCGACCTTTGAGGTCAGCCTATGATCCTTCGAGAACGGGTCGACCTTCGACAGTTTGCCCTCCAATATTGAATTGTCGATGGAACCACATGACGTCAAAGCTTGTCCCTTAGGAGCTCGGCCGTGGATGAGCTTAAGAGCTCTCTTCCTATATGAGCTTAAGAGCTCTTCGTAAATGAACTTACGATCTTCCGTAGATGAGGTTAGAAGCTCTTTCGTAGATGAGCTTAGGAGCTCTTCCTAAATGGACTTAAGAGCTCGACCGTAGATGAGCTGATGAGGTTGGTCGTATATGATCTCACCATGTGGTAGGTCATATTTTTACTCCCACCATTATCAATAAACCTTATTTATTATTATTATTTTAAGGTGATTGAGAGTATTTTTTTTGGGAAAAAATATAATTATGAATACTTTTGAAAAATAAATGTTAATAACAAATCACTAACTTTTGGTTTTATACTCTTAAAAATATTTTTCAAGAATACTTTATATTACTCTTAAACATTATAATTTTGAGGCATGTTAAACATTTTCTTACTGTTTCTAGATTTTTTTTTCTTTGAATAAAAATATAGAGGTGAAGAATTAAGCTTTTAGCTTCAAGAAAGTTAATAGGTATTTTTATTAATTGAACTATGCTCGACTTATCTATTATTGTTGGGATAAATTAAACTATAGTTGTTGTTGCAAATACTTGTAACATTTTTTTATTACAAAAATTAAACTTTTAACTTATTTTAATTGCAACAAGCGGTCACTTGTTATCCTCCCTAGATGGCGTATGTTGGATAGTTAAGGAAAGAGAGAGGAGAGAAGAAATTAAAATTTGGGGACAGACAAGGAGATATATAAAATTATTTAAACTCCGATCCTTTTTCTTTTTCTAATTGTGTCCCTTCTCCTCTAGTTTTTTAAAATTGGAAAACTATATATATATATATATATAATAGCAGGTAAATTTTTTTAGTGTAAACTTTTAAGGAAAAAGTTGAAAAAACTAGTAACTAAAATAGAACATTTGAATCAATTTAATGGTTAATCTTTTAAAGTTCTCAATCTTATTTAGAGACTCTTTGGAATAAGGGGGTGAGGATAGGATTAAGGACGAGAAATGTATGGAGGATACATAATTTATTTATTTCATTAAGATTAATTATTTTAAATTAATTTTATGATCAATCATATTATATGAAAACATATTAATTGATAAAAATAAATTAAAATCAATCCATCAAAGATGAAGTTTAGTAAGCGATTCAATATCTATTCTAGCTTCATTTTGTTTGAAACAATCAATGATTAAGGTATGACTTTGTTCTAAACTCACAATGAATCAATTGGAAATCAAAGAATCGATTTCCCTGCACCTCTCGGGAGAATTTGCCATACACACTCTTTTTGACCCTCTTCCATCTTGCTCCTTTTGGAATACGTTCTCAGGGAGGCCTCTAGCGTTATGTTCCACTAGTAAGCAACTATTCAAAAATATAGTTAGGCAAAGGATTCATCAATCTTCGTATCTTGGATTTCCTTTGATAAGTTATAAGATACGTTTGTACATATTCGATTGATTCATTGTCTAATACGTTCATTAGCACAAATAACTAAGTCGTTAGGGACTAAAAATGTTTTTTTTTTACTTTATTGGAAAGAAACTCGTAAATTTCAAATTAACAGAGGAGCTACACCGTTTTCAACTTATAAGCAGTAAATAGAAGAAGTATCAATCCTCGTAGTATTGTAAATTTCTTCGAGGGCTCACGAGCATGGCATGTCACTTGGTAAGGGGCCCACACATTCATATGCTGAAAAAAATATCTTCTTCTAACAACGATTTTGATGGTGACGTGGTGCTTTCTCAGTCGCCTCTAACCGCCAGATATTTTCTCCCACAAATATCAACTCCCGCGCGTGTTCCTCACTCTCCCCCAACGTGGACTTCCTCTCTTCCCATTCGCCCTTCTTTTTCCACTTAATTACTCCATTGCCATTTCCTTTTCCTCTCCATTGTCCCTTTTTTTTTCTCCAAAGATTTTGAACTTCTCAAAACCAAATATTAAATTTGGATATCCATAAATTATTGATATCAACGCATATTGGTTAGAGGGATGACAAAGATTTTAAGAAAAGAGAAAAAAAATTCTAAAAAATTTTAGGTAAAAATAAAGGAAGTAGGAATAAATTTTTGAAAAGTAAATCAATAAACATTTTAAAAACTAAAAATCACTTGGAGAATCCCTCCAAATGATTGATCGGAAATCAGATCTTGAATTTTTCCAATTTTTCCAAAATTACATATGGATCCTTGTTAAACGATCTATTTTAAAGTGAAAGTGATTTTGGTATAAGTAAAAGTGATTCTAACCGTGTCAAAACCACTTCTAAACATGCCCTTACATACTATTCAAAATAGATTTTATGCTATACAAAATAAACTCACTACAAAATTTATATACAAATAAAGGTGTTAAATTTCGATAATCTTTTAAGTGTAAATTTTCTAGAAACATGATAAAATGTCAATGTCGATGGATATTTATAAAAAAGTTCATAAAAATATTTAAATGGACAAATACTCATTTTATCATTTTATATAAGTTAAAAATTCTTACTATTAATATTATAATCCACGTAAGTGATATTTTGTTGATATTTTAATCTATATTTTGTTAGATTTTTGTGATACTATAAAAAATTAAAAATGCCAATTCATCTCTTATGTATATATGAAAATGTCTACAAATTTAATATAGCATCGTGATTAAGACATCTTCTTCATTCTCTAAAGTTCGAGGTTGAATTCAAAGATATTTGATTTAAAAAAGTAAATAGAACGAAATTTAGAAATTTAAAAGATTAAAGACGAAAATTGAAAAATGCACATTATTATTATTACAAAAAATGAACATTATATTATAAATTCTGAGGTATAGGCATAAGGCATTTTCGTAAATTTGTGTTGAGAGCAGGGCATTTTGCTTCACCGTCCTCAAGAAATAAATATCTAAACTCGAGCTCTCTGTCCAAACACTCCGATTTTCAGTTTTCTGTCGAAATTCGAAAAGCGGCGAATGGCAATGGCGAAAAACGATGATGAGCCGGCGGTTCGGAGCTCCGGCAAGAGGCTCAAATGGTCTAAGGATGTGGAGCAGCTTGAAGATGAAGATGAAGATGAAGAAGAAGAAGAAGAAGAGCAGGTGAGCGAGCTTCCATTGAAGCCCGGGCTGTTCTTCTACCCAATGATGCCAACTTCCTTCGTCGTCTCCGATGCTCTCGAGCCCGATTTTCCCATCATCTACGTCAACAAAGTCTTCGAGATCTTCACCGGATATCGCGCCGATGAGGTCCTCGGTCAGAATTGGTATGGCGAGATTCAATTGCGCGATGTTTTTTTTTTTCTATTTGTTTACTGTTTTTTGATGCTTGGTATTGGAGGCGCTGGAAATTTTGGTTTTCGAATGGATTTGGATTGTAATTTGCGGTTGAAGAAACTTTTGGATGCGACTAGTTTCCTGGTTTTATTTGTTTGTGCGCCCTTTTGAGTAGCAATTTGATTCAATTTTCTGTAGTAATTCTGTCCCGGAAATACTTTTGGTTAGTGTTGCGATGTGCTCTGATTGTTATGCAAACGACTAGTTGGATTCCTATACTTACATTACAACATGATAAAGAAGCACATTTGATTTGAGTCTAAATTCTGGTTGATACCCAGTTATGAGAGGTAGAGCGGAGGAATGTGAGAGCCCAATTTGATTTCCTTGTCTAATTGTCTCAAAAGGCGGTGGCTCTCTGCGAAATTTTGGTGACTTTGATTAAGGAGATTGCTGTACTGTGTCCCCTGACTCTATCCAGATCACGGTCTGTTTAGTTTTTTGTTCCTTTCCTCCAAGCTCCTTTTTGGCTATCAATTTTGTGCTGTGCTCTTTTGTTTTTCTGGTGGGGCAGTGCGAGGATTTATCATTTGATTACCTTAATCCACATTTAAAGTCCTGATATAGGTGTTTTTTAGTTGCATTTCAGTATATACTCAGCTTGACCTGATCCCATTGAAATATAGAGTCCATAGTAATATGCTAGCAAATGATTCCGGTTTATCTGAGGTGATTTACTCAAAACTTCTCTATTTACCTCTCTCTCCATTCATATATATATATACGATCGATCTCTTTGTATTTAGTTAATTTACCTCCACAGTTTTGTAACTGTTGTTTTTTATAAGAAGTTTATTTATCCATATGGGTGCTTTCTGTTTCAGTCGGTTCTTACAATATAGAGATCCTCGTGCACAACGGCGCCATCCATTGGTAGATCCGGTTGTTGTTTCTGAAATCAGAAGATGTCTAGAGGAAGGTGTTGAATTCCAAGGTGAGCTCCTCAATTTCAGAAAGGATGGCATGCCTATGGTGAACAGGTTACGGCTTGCACCCATACACGATGATGATGGTACTGTTACGCACATTATAGGAATTCAAGTGTTTTCCGAGACGAAGATAGACCTTAGCCGGTTGTCATATCCTGTTTTCAAAGAAACTTGCCCAAAAAAACTGGATCTGTCTGGAAAAAGTGCTCATTTGATTGATCAATCACCATTTTGTCAGCATAAAGAAATCTGTGGGATACTTCAGCTTTCAGATGAGGTCTTGGCCCATAACATTTTATCACGTTTGACACCAAGAGATGTCGCATCTGTTGGGTCAGTCTGCCGAAGGATTCGTCAATTGACGAAGAACGAGCATCTAAGGAAGATGGTATGTCAGAATGCATGGGGAAGAGAAGTGACTGGAACATTGGAACAAATGACAAAGAAGCTTGGTTGGGGGCGATTAGCCAGGGAACTTACAACTCTTGAAGCTGTATGTTGGAGAAAACTGACAGTTGGGGGAGCTGTGGAGCCTTTACGTTGTAACTTTAGTGCTTGCGCAGCAGGTAATCGACTCGTATTATTCGGTGGGGAAGGAGTCAATATGCAGCCCATGGATGACACCTTCGTTCTCAACCTTGATGCTGCAAATCCTGAGTGGCGCAGAGTAAGCGTGAAATCCTCCCCACCTGGACGATGGGGCCACACTCTATCATGTCTAAATGGTTCTTGGTTGGTAGTTTTTGGTGGATGTGGCAGTCAAGGATTGCTCAACGACGTGTTTGTTCTCGATTTAGATGCTCAACAACCAACATGGAAAGAAATCTCTGGTGGAGCTCCTCCATTGCCTAGATCCTGGCATAGTTCCTGTATGATCGAAGGTTCTAAACTGGTTGTTTCCGGAGGATGCACGGACGCCGGGGTGCTTCTCAGTGACACATACTTGTTAGATCTAACAACAGACAAGCCAACCTGGAGAGAGATTCCCACATCCGGGACTCCCCCCTCTAGATTGGGACATTCCCTTTCAGTTTATGGTGGGACAAAGATTCTAATGTTTGGTGGACTTGCCAAGAGCGGACACTTGCGCTTACGGTCGGGCGAGGCGTACACCATAGATCTAGAAGAGGAGGAACCCCAGTGGAGGCAACTCGAGTGCAGTGCATTCACTGCTATAGGTGGTCAGAGCGCTGTGGTTCCTCCTCCAAGACTCGATCACGTAGCAGTCAGCATGCCCTGTGGAAGGATTATCATCTTCGGAGGCTCCATCGCCGGGTTACATTCGCCTTCCCAACTATTCCTTTTGGATCCTGCCGAGGAGAAACCGTCATGGAGGATTCTCAATGTTCCTGGACAGCCACCCAAATTTGCTTGGGGCCACAGCACTTGTGTGGTTGGAGGGACAAGAGTCCTAGTGTTGGGAGGCCACACCGGAGAAGAATGGATACTCAATGAATTACACGAACTCTGCTTAGCTAGCAGGCAAGATTCAGATCTTTGACACCATTTTTATCTGCATCAAACAAACACTCTGAAGGAAAAAGTTGCTTCAAACGAACCAGTTGAGAATTGAGATTCTTCATATTACAGCTACTGTAAGAACAAAAACTTGCCCTGTTTTTCTTCTTTATTAGTTTGTGTTTAGATTTTGGTCTTCTGTATATATTATATATACATAATATAGGTTGTGTTTCACTAACCTTTCTTTGTGGTTCTGTATTTTTACATCTAAATGGCCATGTGTCTACTTTTGTATTTAGAAGCACTTTTTTGTGAAGCACTTTTTTGTGTACATGTTTTGTGCGGGAAGCATATACATAGGGAGTTTTTGAAGTTTCTGACAAACAAGACCACCATTTTTGTATTACTTTAAATGATAATTTTCATCTACAATTTGCTGTGATCATAAGAGTTTTTTAGTTGTACGTTATTTCTAAGATTCCGAATTCGTATGTACTTTAATTAGCTTTGGTAAAATCAAATGTTTTTATCCTTTGCTTTTCTATTCTGATTCATCCATTACGTTAGTAAATGATAGTATTTACTTCTATGGACAGTGACAAAGATGCATATGGTAAAGAATGATTCGAGAGCTATTCATACTCTCTGAAGCGCATAGATCACACACTAAAACCAAAAGTCTATATTTTTTTTTTTAATTGAAAGTATCCTAGCCATATCTTCTACTTCGATAAGAATTCTACTCTACTAAATCACTCGATCACCCTCTTAAAATCCACCTCACACATGGTGGAAAAAGGTTGGAGTCTTGTTTTAAAAGGAAGAGGGCACAAAGCAACAAAGAAAGTGATGCATTTATATGGAATTCCTTTGAGATGAGATGGATAAAGTGTTACAAAATACTTCATTGCTTACCTATATTTTGGCTGTCTACCATAAGTTTGGCTTGAAATCAGTTGTCTCACCAAGAAATTTAATGTATAAGAAAGCAATATCGGGAAAATTATATATAGAGAGCGCGCGTGCGCACATTAAATCTGATGATCCTCTTATTTTTACCGTCTCTTATTTATAATCTTTCATTTATAAAGTTTTCTTTATTATTCATATTTGGTATTGAAACTATGTTTCCGCTAGAGAGATGRGATTGCATTGTGTCTATTCTTTTATTAGTGCAAATGAATAATCAATTAAATGTATTGTATAGTGAAAAGTAAGGGAACCAATATTCTAAAATTTTATCATGTTAATATTTCTATTATATCGTAAACATATCAACAAAATATAAAAAATTTGAACAAAATATCATTCAACACACTAATAATTGAAATTATAATGATGCTATTCAAAAGTGTCAAATGCATTATGAATTTTTATTTATATAATTATTTAAAAATTACCCATTACCATTGATATTTTAAAAATATATTTTAAAATTTTTTAATAAAATCATAACTATGTCGATACTTTAAACCTTAGGCACAATATCAACATCCATGAATGAAAAATATTTCAAGGCCTAGAACTCTCGATAAAAGGCCTGATTTACATGTATGAACCCGATAGTTCAAGACAATCAACCATCAAAATCTATTTTTAGTGTACACTCCACGTCAATTCCACGTCATATTTTATTTAGTATAARGTAGAATGGAGAATTCGACTCATGACCTCTTAGTCARATACAAGTACTAATTAACGTCTCAAAGTTGACCCACATCACATCCTGTTTGACAATGTTATGACTTATAATTGAATAGATGCATAATCTAAAGTTTCTTTACAAACTTGRTCGAAACTTTGTCAAAATTTAAGTATTAAATAGAAACTAAAACAATCCACATAACCATTATTCACATGGAAGATTTTACATAACATCATCAAAGTAATCACATTCATCATGAGGAAGTAATTGATCATACAGTTAGCCTATTTCTGTCTCTATTTTGAGCTTCTTCATAAGCAACAATGCCTGTGTCTCTGTTTGTTTTGGCTTGTTACAACTTCAATGGATTGAATAAAGATCTAAAATTCTCTGACTTGCAAAAATAGTAATTTTCTTCATTCAATAGCAGCTGTATCTCAGGAATTGTTATATGCACATTGTATTGCCAGAGCTCATAATCAGTAGCAGGAGCAGAACAAAATCTGCCAAACAGAGAGGCTATGAGATCATAGAATTGCAAATTGGATACAAAAAACKAAGTGTTAGTTCATTTTGTGAAAATATGGATATCCGATATTGAGATCGCACCTTATGTGAAATCGCCAATAACCTGCATGTGATTAGCATGAATTGAACATGTGGAGGCTTTTGGATCCTATGATAAGCAAAGGAATATATGACTTTGAATCTCTCTCTCTATCTCGCTGAATTTTCACTACAGTCTGAAATATCCCACACAATCTCTAAAACCACGATCCAATAACCGACGCGAATCACATGCGTCTTGGCTTCTCGAATGGAAGGTTGCCGAGTAAATCGAAGGGCAAAGGCAGGGTTTCAATGTCTGGTGAATCAATTTAMATCTCGAATAACAATTCCTCTCTTTCTCATTTCATCATGTAGTCCTAAAATTGCAGCTTCATTACCCAGCTTATGGTACCCTCTTATAAGAATGTTACAAGCAACAGAATCTGGAGTTATTCCTTTATTTAACATGTCTTCAAAAACCTGTTTGGCTTCTATCATTAGTCCCTTCTCGGCCATACCACAAATGAGGGAGCTATAGGTTAACAAATCGGGTTCTATGTGTTCTCGAACCATCCTTTTCTTGATCAAGAAAGCCTTCAGCAAATCTCCTTGCTTGCAAAGCTCTGCAATCCAAGAAGTGTACACATATTTATCAGGAACAAACCCTGCCTCAGACATCTCCTCAATGATTCTCTCAACTTCATCTAAACTCCCCTCCTTGCAGAGTGCATCTATAAGCACTGTGTATAGAACTTCATTGGCCTTTTCTCTGATTAAATACCGTCTAGCCTCTTGTACATACCCGTGCTTGCATAGACCATCCATCAGGGTGGATAGTGTCATGGCATCAGGCTCAAAACCCCTAGCCAGCAATTTTTGGTACGAATTCAAAGCTTCTTTTAAGTTTCCAGCTTTGAAATGCAGATCCATAATAGCTGTCAATATTATCCCATCAGGAAGCAATCCATTCTTCACCACATCTTCTGCAGCTTCCATTGCCTTCTGCAACCTACCAACTCTGCGAAAGCCCGAGATAACTACCGTATAAGCTGTTAAATCTAGTCTAATCTCTCGATCAAACATTCTGTTTATATACTTCGTCGCATCATCTACATTTCCCTTCTTAAAGTGTCCATCAATTATCGAAGTGTAAACAGTACAATTAGGTGAAATACCAACATTCAACATCTTCTCAAACAATAAATCAGCTCTTCCCAACATCCCCTGCTTGCAGCAACCATCAATTAATGTAGCATACGTGAACTCGTTTGGCTGAACCGAACATTCCTCCATTTTCTCAAAGTATTGAAATGCAATATCCAAACTCCCAGCCTTACAATACCCATCAATCAAGGAGCTAAAAGCAACAAAATTAGGCACAACCCCCACCTTCACCATATCCAAAAACATTCCATTACCCATTTCCATATCCCCCATCTTACAGAACATATCAATAAACGTCCCATAAGTAACAACATTAGGCAAACAGAATTTCCACATCAAACCCAGGTACATAAACGCCTCTCTCTTCATATAAACCTTAGCAAAACCATTAAACAGTATATTAAACATAACCAAATCAGGACTCAACTCACTCCCACGAACTCTGTTCACAAGAAAACAAGCCTTCCGAATTTGATAATTTACACAGAACCCATMTAACAATGAATTGTAAGATACAATATCAGGCGAGCAGCCAAACCTGGGCATCGAATGCAAAATCTGTTGGGCAAATTCAACGCGCCCTAATCTACAGAAAAAGGAGATGATGGAGTTGAAAGAAGAGGGATGGGGAGAGTAGCCTTTGGAGAGGAAATGGAAAAGTAATTTTGCGGAGAGTTCGCCGCAGCCGGAGTTGACGAGAGAGTGGAGAAGCTTGTTGCAGGTAAAAGGGGAGGGAAAACGGGAGATTCGTCGGAGGTAAGCGAGGAATTGGAGGGCATCTTTGACCATGCGAAGATGGATTTGAATGGGAGAGATTGATGAGGAAACACATTCGAGGCTATAGAGAGAGAGAGATTTGGATTTAAGGAATTTTGGCCTTAAACATAAACCCTAGCGGSCATTGACAAGGGTTCTATGTCAGCAGGAAGGAGATTTGTAGAGAGATATATTTTTTTTTCGGAGATAGAGAGAAATATTTTAAATTTATGGTTTAAATACTATTTTCCTCCATTTTTGTTCATGTGCATGTTTTTTTATTTCTTGACATTTGAAATTGTGATTAAGAAAATGAAAGGACCACCAACGTAGCTAAGCAATCATTGACATGTATTCTTTTTCTCGAARTCGAAGTTRCAATAAAATAAAAGTAAAAAGATAGTAAACATTTTGAAAGTACAAGAGCTATATAGTAYTGAGATCTAGAGTTATTAAATATTTTTTTAATTTTTTAAATAATTATYGGAGAGATAAAAKGACTAATCATTAGAGATGATAACATTGYATCCTACRCTCTAACCAAATTAAACTTTTATATTAAATTACAAGTTTTCGTACATAATTTTAAAGTGTCGAGCCAGTAAAATTTCAATGTTGTGTACTGTAATAAGTAGTAGATTCCTAAAAACTCTATACTAAACAAGAAAACAAAAAAAAAACAACCCCACTGAAATTTTTTTTAATACATAAAATACAGAGRTTGAATTTCCGACATTTAAATGGGAGCTAGTCATGCTCACGTTTACAACAATCTTTCGCTCTCAATGATCCACTGTTTCGTAACATAAATAAATCACTTTTATCACCAAATCCAATACTAAATTTACAACAAACACACACATATAATTAATTAACACATCCTCCGAAGGCCAAATTACACCTCAAATTGCCTCATCATCATTTATTTCTTGTTGACAGGCAGAAATGGAAGAACCAATTTCCAATAGAACTTAAAATCCAGTTTACCATCTCGATTGACCCCATAAATGGCATCTTGTTTGGCCACCCAAACACACCTAAAGTTGGGACAGTAGTTATCGAAGAAATCTTGATCAACATAAAAGGCATTGAACTCCTGTGTTCCTTCTGCCCAATCCAATTTACAGCGGAATTTTGTTGTCCCCCAAAAATTCTTCTTGAAAGACCAGTGATGTTCCTGGTTGTCGTACAGCGCATGCACCCCTATGTCGTCCTCGGACGACCAGCAGTGGCTGGTCAGCACGTGCCCGACCATCCCGTTGCGAATCTCGACCGTAAATCTCGGCATTTTAAACAGAGATCTTACATGTCTCGCGTCCGTTGGATGGGGCGACGAGATCAGTAAGAGGCCTAGAAAGAATAGTACAAGTTGCATGCTTTTGGAATCCATGCAAAACCCTAATTAACTAGCACTTTTTTTTTGGTTTGTTTTCTATTGGAGGATGGATTTGATGTGTTTGTGTTGGGTATATATATATATGAAACTTTAGTTATTTGTTGAGGAATTTGAGGGGGATGGGTAAAATTTAAGGTCTTTTTGACCATGAGTTTAATTATGTGGTTGGTTTTTTGATAGGAGTTCCAAAAATGGACTGTCTAAATTAAATCCAATGGTAAGGAGAAAGATAAGGTTTTTTTTTTTTTTTTTTTAAATATTAAAATGTAGAGTACCCAAGTTCTAGAGTTGGCTAAATGCGGACGTGAACTTAGCTCGATAATTGACATGTGCATAGTATGAGTTTGAATGCTCCAGCTTGCTTGAATGAGATTCACCTAATGAATCTAATTTGAGAATGCTAATTAATTTGAGAACTATTTTCCCTCCCAAGAAGAAGGAATTTTTTTAACCTAAAGGGTTGGGTTGGATTAGATAAGACCTCGAGTTGGATTGGGTTGGATTGTGATTTTTCCAACCCAATCAGGTTGGGTTGGGTCTCGGGTTCAACCCTTTAAAAAATCGGGTCAACCCAACCCAACCCGAATTTGTGCATATGCGTGTATTTTTTTAATTATATATATATATCAACCGTCCATCTAGTTTTAATCCTAGTCATTCATTTAAAATTTTCATATTATCTTCTTCCATTTTGTATCTTAATCTCATTCGTCCATTAATTTTAATCCTCACTCCCTATCGCCACGATAATTAAAAAGAAAAAAAAAACACAATCCGGCAACCCAATCCGAAAATATTGGGTTGAGTAGGGTTGACTTGACCATCCAATTCAAACCCGACGGTTCCTATATATGGCCAACTCGAAAATTCGGGTTGATCCCAAAATCCCTCCTAACCCGATCCAATCCAATCCGTGAACCTCCTTAGAGATAGTGTCCGCTTAGCTTATATTGTAATGGATGAAATTTTGGATTAAAGATGGGGTGTTTGAGAAATCTAAGGCAGTCGGAGAAATGTCAAAAATAGAAATGTTTTGAACTTGTCAGGAGTGTTTCTTATTTTTTAGTGAATTAATTCATTCTTCTGTTAGAATATCTTGTATTTTAGTTTTGGAATACTCTCCTTACTTTTTAAAAGTTTCGAATAAGTTTTTGAGCTTTCAAGACACTACCTTGTCTCTATATTTTTAAATGTTTTTAATAAATCTTTAAATTTTTAATTTTATATTTAAAATGTTGATTGAATTATTTGAAACAGATTTTATAATCAACTTCGTCAATTTAACACTTCCATAGTGCTAGCAATAACTCCATTATTTTGTACTAAAAAAATCTCCATTATTTTCAACTCCTTGATTGGATGTTTGATGTTATCCTATTCTAAACGTGCTATTATCCCCTCTCCATTAATATATAATTGTAATTTAACCATATATAATAATAAAAATAATAATACCTATCACGTGGTGATATATGCTGAGCTTCTAAGCTCGTCTACGACTGAACTCCTAATTAAGCTCATCTACTGCCGCTATTAAACTCATCATGTGAAAGAATGAATAACCGACTTTAATCAATTGTCGACCTATGGCCCGACAGTTCGTAATGACCATAACGGACTTGTCCCCTCACTTCGTCTATATAAAAGACACTCATTCCTTCGACCAAAGTATGCAATTTTGTCTAAGAACAACCTGAACTGAGCTCGCACATGTACTAACTTGAGCGTCAGAGCATTTGCTTCCTTTTTGCAGGTCCTACCTTGCATAACCTCCCACATCCTTAGCTTGGCCAGTGCATGTGGTTGATCTCGATAGCTCGACAACATCCTACATCAACATTTGGTGCCGTCTATGGGAATCGAAAATTTTAAGTGATTCCTACCGAACCAATGACTCGCACAATTTCTCAAAGCTCTAGTGCTCCTGGCAATCAGGTGGACCTCCAATGTGCTTCAAGATCTTCCATGGAGGAAGACCTTATCATCGCGGATGACCTTCCCCTAGAGATAAACCTTCCTCTCGAGGATGACTTTCTCTAGGAGAAAGTCCTTATCATTATTGGATCGGTATTGCAACTCTAGATGGAGAGCAGGGGAGGGGTGAATAAGGTTTTATGAAACTTTATAATTTTTTTAACACGGTGGTCCCAATTTAAATAAATAAGTAAACTTTTTTCCAAACAAATAATTTTAACACTAATTAATCAATAAATTAAAAATACATTTCAAATACTCTAATTAATTCCAATGTAACGATTGATTATAAACGTGAAGAACAAATTATAACAATTAATTTCATGTAAATTATGATAAAGAAATTAATTGCAAAAATTAAATAGGAGAGAATTAGATAAATATTTGAAGTTTATAGTAGTTCGGCAACAACGACCTACTCCATCCCTCAAGCTTATCTTGGGTGTTCGACTAAGAAACCACTCAACTCTTTCCAATAGTAGGAGTCAAATCGGTACACCGTTTTTTTCTGGGAGTAAAAACAAATCTGGTTCAGGATCAAACCATTACAATGCTCTTTTCGGGCTTAACCTTCTGTTTGGAACCTCTGATTTGGAGGGATTTCAAAATCTTAAGATTTCGAATTCTATTTTTGGTTTAAATATTTTCCAATCGAAATAGGTCCGATTTGTGAAGATTTTAAATTTAAATGTAACAAATTCCGATTTTGCTTTGGTGAAAAAAACTTATCACTCTAACCTCCTCTTTATTTGTACATCATCAACCAAATTAGTTTCAAAATTTGATTTATCCTTCTTTTTTCTTTTCTTTTTTTTTATTCTAGTAACTNACAAATATTTTTTTTATTGATTTTCTATTTTGTTTTTGGTGTATTCTTAAATATTGTTTAGATCTTTATATGTTTATATTTTTTTGGTATATTTTTCTTATTTTTTCCTTTCGATTTTATTTTGTTGTACTGCATATCATAAAATAACTATGATAAAAATAAAAAAGAAAAATTGTTGCGAATAAACTGAAATAATTTGATTTAAAGAACTTTTTTAGTATTTGAATTAAAAAATTTGTAAGTTTTTTTTTTAGTTTTTAAAATAAATGTGACATTGTCAAGTTAATTTTTGTTAGGTTGATTTGATTAAATTATTTATGTTTTTCAGGGTTGAAATTACTCTATATTAAAATATTATATATTAATAATATAATATTCTACAAAATATTAAGGGCACAATAGTAAAATGTTATACATTATTTTCATTTCTGGTGAACATCTAAACATAAATTTTAATTTTAATGATTTACCATCATTTTGGTTCCAAACGCAATTAGAAATTTGAAATCATTTCCTACAAATTTCAAATGACAAACGGAGCATAAAAGATTTGAAATGAAAAACAAGATTACAAACTCTCTCAAATGGTAGATCTACAAATTTAATTCACAAATCTTGTAATAAAAATTCTTACAAAATAAAACTCTTAAATTGTTAAAAAATAAAATTGGATAGTTAAAAGATATCTAAAAATGATATCTCTGAAAAGAAATTGAAACATAAATTGATTTTTTTGGAGAGAAGAAACATGGAGAATTTGGAGAGAATTTTTGGAGAGGAATTGTGGTATGATTTTGGGAGAGATTGTTTAAAAAGGAGGGGTAAACTGTTTAGAATCAATGAATTTTAGGCCATTGGATTTTGGTAAAAAGGAACTAAAGGTGGAGATTAAAACTTGGGAAAATGACAAAAAACAAAAAGCAAGAAAATTGGGTGAATAAATTTCATAACGGCTATATCTATATATAGCTAAAGTCAGGCGCATTTGTACAT